AGTGAAATGGACAGAAATCCTGAAGAATTAAGAAGCAGGTGAGACCACAAAACCTTATATAATAATTTGATTAACATCTGCTTTGTCAGAAGGGCATCTAAAAATTGTAGACATAATCTGAACTTGGGAAATGGGATGACATTTAAGGGGGGAAGTGTGTGTCTAGAAATGGAATGGAATGTGTCTGAGACAAAGCTTGAGGCAGACTGAGAAGACTCTAAAATGCCAATGAGCAGCAAATGTGCAAAATAAAGATTTTTGTTTCTCTTCTGGCAGGTGAGGCTCTCATCTAATAACCTTCATACATATTTAAAAGCAGTTGACTTCAATTGACTCCAAATAACTTCAACCCCATTTAACTTACCTCTATTTTTTCAAAAACATAAAGCCAGAGTTAAAACTAGAAGAACATAAGTGATAGCAAAATAGGCTGAAAGGCAATAATTGTATAATAACAATCCAACAAACAGTGCAAGTCCCTACCTATGATCACCCAGGGAAATCTTGGAGGAGGAGAAGGCCTATTAGTCTCCTGGATGTGCCTGGGCTGTGCCCTCTATGGTTTATGAAACAGTGAACTATTTCTGAAGCTCTAGAGAAAGATGGTCAAACATGCCTTTATTTTATTAAATTTTCTGTTTACAGTTTTATCTGTGGAGTGTTTACTCTCAGAGAAATAAGTTATATTTTCAAGGAAAGCTCACAGGAGGATGACTATTGCTATGACCACTAACATCCACCAGTGGACTGTGGTGTCAGACGCTACAGAATATCAGCTGTGTAGTCTGGTCGTTACCATCAGCAAGTCACTAAGACAAACGAGATCAAAGCCAGTAGTCACCTCATTTCAAATGTCTTCAATGAGACCATTGCTTTGCTGAATCCCTAGGTACAAACTAGCTAAATGATGAAAACTAAGAAAAAACTAGAAAACTAGTTAGGATCAAGAGTTAAAGAAATCAAACAAAGCAGCTACAGACAGATGCCAGGCTGACTAATGTACTGGCTTTAAGAAGTCAGCTTCACTGGAATGTCTTTGAGGGCCGTTTAGGACTCAGATGACTTTCATTTGCATAAAGCCTGGAGCTTCAGGCATCACATGATCTCTCCCCGCTACTTGCTTGATTCTGTTGGTTTGGTAGAAACTCCCCATATGATTGCTAAAGTTTACAGCTGTTTGTTGTGACCATTCAAGGCTGGACAGGTTCACGGGATTCTCGCAGATGGAAGAATGCTCACAGAGCTGTTGGGATGTCTGACATGCCTTTATTTATGGGTAGTCGATCCACGCACACCGCAAGCCATGTGCCCCCCCCCCCGCGTGTCACTTCATGTCACTGCATGTACCTGTAAGTCACCTGTCCCCTTGCATGTTGCCTCTCCTCCAGTGGGAAGTCGCTACCCCCTTATATACTAAATGCCCACAAAGCCAGCAGGAAGCCAGGATACATTGTACAACACAGTAAGATTCTGCTCATGAAGACACACTCAAGGCTATGGGACAGTTTATCAGGCCTTTTCTCAAGGCTATAGGAACATTGCTTATAGGGCCCAGGCCCGAGGTTATGGGAAACTGCTTCTCTTATTGCCCAGACATCTGGGTGAGGAAACAAGACTGACTCCATTTACCCTATAGGCTGAAAGTAGCTTTTGAAAGTCAAGATATTTAATTGGATTTTAACACTTTATTGGCTTAAATATAGTAACATAGTTACTTGTAACTACTGTAAGATATAAATCTTTTTCCCAACTGCTCTTTTTTCTAAAACTCCTGAATCTAGCTATCATATCTTTAGTCTTTACCTATGCTATACTTGTTTTCAGTTTTTAGAAAATTCTATTGGCTTTATGGCCAGAGAAACTTTGCAAACCTTGTGCTGCCCCCCATCCCCCACACTCACTACCATTGTGGACAGGAAAGTGTGGCCACAATAACATTATTCTATTTTTTGTATCTTTTTATAGTTCATATTTCATCCATATTTTAGAATTCTGGGTACATGACATGTCTATCTGTCACCAGGGAGGTATTATTCTGCAGTGGTTTATAGCAAGAGCTAGCCAATTTTTTTCTGTGAAGAAAATATTTTAGTCAGTGCAGGCCATATGGGACACTTCTCAACTCTGCCGTTGTGCTGTGAAAACAGTCATAGACGTGTAATCAAACGTGCATGTCTATATTCCAATAAAACTTTATTTGCAGAAGCGGGCAGCTGACCAGATTTGGCAGATTGTGCCTATGGTGACCCTTGGTGCAGAGCATGAACTTACTGGTTCTGTGACCTTGGCAAATCACTAGCCCCTCTGTGCCTTATTCTTCTCATCTTCATGGGAACAGTGATAACAGTTTGTTTAGCTTTGTGAGAGACCCTGGGCTGACTGACCAGTTAAACCGTGTCCAGATTCCTAACCCATAGAAACTGCAAGGTAATATATGTGTGTTATTTTTAAGCTATTAAATTTCTGGTAATATTGTTATACAGAAATAGATAACACAATATTAAACTAATATGGATTATAACAGCAGTTATTAAACATAAATAATACTGTTTTCTTATCAGTGACTAGTTTGCCAACCATCAAAAGTATTTAAGAATTTAACGTTAAGGCATCATTCTAGTCACCTTGGTTCATTGACAACTCTATGGTAATTCATAACCCAAAAAAGCACTTGCCTAATTCACCCTTGTTAGAAATTCAGTTCTCAAGTAGAATTCTTAATCTAGAGATAGTGTTAGAGAGTGAACAAATTCAAATTGTGAAATAAAAAAGCACAACTAAGAAAACTGAAGATTGAAATATCACAACTGTTCTGTGTTTGGAAGGCTTATGACACAGAAGCAAGGGTTAGTCTTGGTTTGAAAAGCAGTCAAATGGTAGCTGGGGTTGATGGGAGTCCATGTTCTTGCTCCAGCTCCACTTTAACACGGCCTTAAGCAGAGCTGCGGTCCACAGTTGGTTTGTCAGGGGACTTCTACAATAACAACAATTCTCAGAATTAGAATTCTTGGCCTAACAGCTTTCTGTACACTAACTTCCTAAGCATCTAACTTTTACTGTGCAGTACTTAAGCATAGAGAGAAATAAATCCTGGATAACTAAAATCTAATAGTAAGTCATACTTTATTTTTCTTATAAAGAGAATTAGCTTGTGTAGTTAAAATTTGAATGAACCAAATCACTTTCTCCTGTGCTAGGGTAGTGTGAATGTACCTTGCTAGCCCAGAGATAAATCTATCAGAGTCAGATCTCTCATACTTGAAACTGGTTTCCCTCACTTTCATAACCCAAGAAATGACAGGGCCATGTTTAAATGAAATGGGATAAATGGTATAGATTCAGGATGTGGGGTGATTTGTTACAATGTACGTTTACCAGCATATTGGGAATGGGCCACAATGGAGCTGGTGAGATAACATGAAACCCTGACCCTGTCACACATATCATTTGGAGATAAAGAGTTGGGCCCATCTCTCAGACAATTGACTAATTTTATGAGGAAGTCTGGCATTTTCAAACCGAGGACAATGAAACCCTACTGGATGGTCTGAACAGTGCAATGGAGATGAAACATGGGGTTTTTTCTTCTCCCCACTGAGAACCTTGGAGGGCACACTCATAAGAAAAGGGGGAATAGAGGTTATGGTAAAAGAATAAGCCCAAATCCACTCAAGGCTTTGAGGAAGTTTCAATACTGAAACTTCCTCCTGCTGATACTCAGCAGGCAGAGACCTAAGCACTTAGAAGAGTGACTTCCCATATAGTCAAAGGTCACAGAATAAAGTTTCCAGCCAAGCTTTCCTATGAAGTCATTTCGGGGGGGAATGGGGTCAGTGGTTACTGTACTGGTTAATTGATTAAAAGCTTCAAGTCTTCAGAAAATACCTAAATTTTTGTGCCTTGGACTCATTAATTTGGTTAGTATCTCGTTGGTATACTGTTTCTTCCTCCGTAAGAATCGCTTACAGTAATAGTCCATAGAGTTATCACATTTAGACAATTAAAACTTATTCTATCTACCTCTGACAGCATGGAAATTGCAGGTGAATGCTGTGGTGCCATTTTGAATAAACTTGAAAGCTTCTTGCTTATACTCATTGCTTGCTGCATTAGTTTCCTGGTTCCTTCCAGATTCAGCAGAATTCCAAGGCTTATAACACTGGGCTGATGTTGAGTGGAGTCTAGTGACTTCTGCAACTGTCTTACCTCTGGTGTCTTTGAATAAACTAGACTGGAAAAGTGCCTTTATTTGAGAACTCTGCTGTACCCAGAATCCTATCATCAGATCCAGCTGAGCACCCAGCCTCCTCATTACAAAAAGAAATCACACTGGTCATTGGGTCAAGGATTATCTGGCTGATGTTAATCTAATTATGTTCCTACACACCATCCTGTTTTTGAAAGAAGGTGTTGCTCTCCATGCAGGGTGGAGGTTAGCCTCACTACATTGTCAGATTAGAGGTGAATCTGCAGAAAATGTATTGTGTGTGTATATGAGAGAACACAGTTGTAAATTCTGGTCTTTATGCCTGCAATTGGCTGTACATTTTTTTTAACAGAGTAATTACCTTAAACCAGTTCCTGGAACCATAGGACAATAAAGTGCTTTTAATTTAACACATTGGCTTTACTGCTTTCATAACCAATCCCAAAGGTCAGAGTTGTGATATGTTATTGCCCCAAGAAGTCCCGTTCTTCTCTGCTCAAGCCAGTCACTACTCTGTGGTATAGGACATTTGTTTCAATGCTTAGTTACCTCTGATCAACAGGAAACTACCCTAAGCTACCCAATGGGCTGCCTCTCTTCTCAACACCTCCCTGCTTCCCCGGGATACACTTTCCTCCTTATCTCTCACCTGGAAGCCTGAGTGAAATAACTGTCTTCCACAAATAATCTAATGAAACAAGGCAATTAAAATGGGAATTTTAATTGAACTCCACACCCCAATTAACAACAGCTCAAGAGTAAGAGTGAGCAGAGTGTGAGCTGGTTAGGGAAGCACACTCAACACACCAGCAACTTAACACCACTTAGCTCCTGTCCACCAGCAATTCCAAGAAGCCATCCCACCAACCTGCCAGCTGTCCTGCTGTAATTAGAGGAGGGTTCTACTCCTGGTTCAAATTGGGAAAGTAAGTAAGACTGATATTTTCTCCTAGAACCCTGAATTCTGTTTAAACCAAAGACATCTTTCTTTCTTTCCCTCCCTCTCTTCCTTTCTTTCTTCCTTCCTTCCTTCCTTCCTTCCTTCCTTTCTTTCTTTCTTTCTTTCTTTCTTTCTTTCTTTCTTTCTTTCTTTCTTTCTTTCCTTCTTTCCTTCCTTCCTTCCTTCCTTCCTTCCTTCCTTCCTTCCTTCCTTCCTTCCTTCCTTCCTTCCTATAACAATGTAATAACCTCCTTTAACTCTTCCCTTTCTGCAAAGTTCTGAAATCAGAAATTGTCAGCTGCCCTTGATGCTGAGACTTTTTCACACTGCCATTTCCTGGTCTGTGCCCAAGTGGACTGGGTGGGTGTCCAAAGGCATGAGTTCCAGACTCGGGGTTACTAGAGATTGCTCATGGTATGTTGTAGTGAGTAACATGTGTTGGACACTCCCTGACCCCTATAAGCAGGGGAAAGAAAAAAATAAAGACTCCATTTACTTCATCCTTCCAAGATCCTCCTCCTTTCAGAGAGATGTCCTGGGTGAAGTTAGAGTGACTTAGGGCCCCATGTTAGCATTTCTTACCTATAGCATAATGGTTTTGGAAGGTCCCTTCCTGTCCTGTAGAGCACCCTCTGACCTTTCAAACTGACCAGGTGCACGTCATGCAGGGGGCCTTCTCTGACCTTTCAAGCCAGGATGGGTTCCTGCCTGTTCTCCCGTAAGAATGTTTTTGTATTATCATTGTATTATCATGCTCTGTTCCTGGCCCTGTCACCTCCAATTGACTGGAAGCTCCTGGAAGCAAAGATCATCCATGTCTTATTCCTTTTTGTATTCCAGTGCCTGGCACAGGGCCTGGCATGCAGTAGATACTCAAGACATATGTTTGAATGGATTGCTAAATACATGTCAGGAAAGAATATCAAAAGCAAACTGTTCTTCTGGTGAAAGTAAAAGTTAGAGAATAAAATTGACCCCTGAATCACCGCTGATGTGCACAGACCCTGGAGTTCCATTTTCTAGGAAGGGAAGCAGGCACATTTCTCTCATGGTTGCTTAGGGACAAAAACCTGTGCAGTCCCTGCATGCACTGTGGTCGTGGGCAGAAGCAAAAGCTGCCAAGACTGATGCCAGGCTGGCTCCTACACTGAGGCAAATTTCTATTTACTTCGAGTCCAGTACACTAGGATTTCCAGTTTCCTGTGATCCATCCTCAATTCCCCACCAATTACATGGAGACAATAATAATACTGCCACCCTTTACCACTGATGAATTCTGGGAATGAGTGAGGTTGCAGGAAAATAAAAGGATTTTTATGTCCTTGAATGTTCTATAAAGAACAAAGACACTTAATTACTGTTCTCAATTTTACTATTACTCTCCCTCCCATACTCTGGGCAAATGGTATCTCCATTCCTATATGCCTTTCCTCTGAGCTAAGGCACATACTTAGTGTCTTCACACCCAGGTCAGGCAAGTTCCCCAGACCAGGCAAGCCGGCAGACAAGAAGCTGCACAGAGACATTCCAATTTGTAGGAAGGCTGCCTCCAGCTGGGAACAAACCCTCCATACAGGCCCAGGACACTGAACGAAAGGGAGCTGACAGAAGTGAACTTAGAAAGACTTCAACATATAAATTTTAAGGGCAAATGGTTCAACCCATAATAGTCCCCAAGTTTCATGTTGGAGCTTTCCACTAAGGTCTGGTATATGACATAAGAGGTTGTCCTCCTATACATAAGAGCAAGTCACTGAAAAGCTGAGTTGGAAGCCCCTTATGGTTGGGCTGGATGGTGGAGGGTTTTTCTGTAAGGAGTGCCACCTGTGTCATGTATTACCATGTTAGCATCTATAAGTCTTTTCTTGTATGCTGATCAAACCAACAGCAACTTTCCATCTTCTACCTGGAGGGTAGAAACCTGGACACCAGCATTCTGGGAGCTAATTATGGGAAGAAGTTACCAGCATGCAATATAAGAGCCAATATTCAGTTCCTTATTTTCCACATACTTTCTCACCCTTACCTGTGTCTGTTGTCCTCCAGTCCCGAGATTCCTGCCATCTCCAAGAACAAATACCCAGTCTTTTGTTGGATGGCAATGAGGACCAGCTGATTGACTCTTCAGAACAGAGGAGGAATTTGGAGGTCTACTACTTAACACATTTCAAGCCAATCTTTCTTTAATCAGCCTCACTATTACCTTACTTACCTTGTGCCACCAGTTCTTCTGTGGTGCAAACCAAATGGTGTAATGGCTTTCTTCCCCCTCTATAGAAGGAATTCTATCTCCTTAAGTCTTTCAAGTCAGGTATAATAAGCCATTTTCTTTTCAGCTTCTAAAAATATTTTGATCTTTTCTCTTTTCCCATTTCCATTGTCCTTGTACATTTATGCCATTAAAAAATTCCTTATTACCTCAGTGTGCTTTTAGTGGAATTTCAGTAGAGAAGCACAGGGGAACACATGTATTCAATTTACCATGGTTTACAGAAACTCCTTGAATTGCCTTTGTGTTTAGCATAACCAGAGTTGGTTTCAGGGGAAGATAACCAAGAATCCTGGCTGGTAAAGGAGGACAAGTGGAGATAAATAGAGGGGCTTGGAATGAGCCAGAGCCAGCGTTCCCTCTCCATGCACATACTCTTCAGTCAACTTTTAGCCAAAGCAGTTGTCAATGCCCATAGAAGAAAGTTGCTCCTTTTCTCTATGTCTTCACTTACATTTCTGTGCCTGGACTAATCCCACTGTTTTCTCTTACCCTAAAAACTTCCAGGTAAACATTCACCTTTCAAGAGTCAGTTCAAGACTTACTGACTCCATAAAAGCGCATTCATATTTATTTAAGCAGAATCCACCCTACCATACCCCACCTACACACACACACACACACACACACACACACACACACACACACACACACACCATGTGCATAATGTATTTGATTATACTTGTCCATTTAGGTATGTCACCCTCTTGACTCTAGGCCCTTCCTAGTGGACTCTGTGTTTTATTTGTCTTCATATTTTCAGTGCCTGACACATAAAAGTTTTCATGAAACAATGAATCCATGAAAAGGAGATATGTGGTCAGTCTGAAAAAATTCATCCATTGTTAATATAACGAGAATGGTTTGCATGACATCAATGTAACCTGGCAGCCAAGGAGAGTGGACTGGAATGCACATGTGTGAACTTTCACTGTACTAGTCAGTGGGGGCAGTAGACACCCTTGAGTAAGCATGTGTACTGTGTGGCCATTGCATTCAAAATGACTGAGCAAGTAGAGCAATGAATCTGCATCAAATTTTGCATTAAGTTTATTCCTCTGTAGAAACTATTCAGAGAATTCAAAAGGCCATAGCTATAGGCAATTGGGATTTACAGCTTCATTGCAACAACACACCCACTCATGTATCATGTCTGGTGTAGTGTTTTTTGGCAAAACATCAAATCACCCAGTTAACTCAGCCCCCCTACAGACCAGGTTTGGCACCCTGCATCTTCCAGCTTTTCCTAAAACTAAAATTGCCTTTGAAAGGGGAGAGATTTCAGATTGTCAATGAAATTCAGGAAAATATGACTGGGCAGCTGATGGCAATTGGGAGAACTGTGTGAGGTCCCAAGGTGCCTACTGTGAAGGGGGCTGAGGCATCATTGGCCTGTGTGCAATATTTCTTGTAGCTTCCCCAATAAATGTCTATTTCGTAGTACATGGGTGGGTATTTTCTGGACAGACCAGTATCCCAGAGTAATAGGTCCTAGTACGCTTTCTGCATTTCATATTGGGAATGCCACATGAATAGCAGCATGACTGTATGAAGCACTACACTTCCTAACCAGATGTGGAATAATATTTCCTACTTAGTGTGAATTATCCATGAAAGTTATTGAGCTACGTCAGTTTCTCCAAACTGATCTCTCTCCAGAAGGTTAACAGAAGAACAGGTCAAAAGAACACACCATTTTCTGCCAGCCTCTCTCTGGCTATGCAGACACACAAGATCAGCCCTGACTCAACTGGAAAACAGCCTTGAGCTCATGGAGGTCATGTGACAGTATAAATTTTGGCATCATTTTCAGAAGAGAAATAATGGTCATGTCCATTAGAGGGTCCCTTGGATGCTGATAGATTTTATTGGACCAATTTCGTTCTTTTTCCTGGGTCCCAGGTCTTGTAGGATTGGGGCAGGTGTAGTCCTCATAAGCCCAGCCTGGGTGAACAAGGCATGTGCTTGTCAGCATGCTGGGGGCTGAAGGAAAGAAGCCACCAACACACTCAGATGGCCTCCATCTACCAGAAACTTCTGATGATGGTAAGTTCATGTCAAGTTCTAGTAGTGATCAATTCGGAATGTCATTCACATGTCATTTATTCACCCCAAATATAGTGAGCCCAGTATTCACTACGCAAATTGTGAAACACTAGAAGATAAAATAATTAAAATTCCTCATAATTAGTAAGTACCAAACATTCTACTCAATGTATTTTATGTGATGCTCTCACTTCATACTTAGCACCTAGGGTCACGAAATGAGGAGAAAATGAGACTTAAAGTAGGTAAGTAACAACTCAGGGTATATGGGTAAGGATGGATAGGGAAGAAGTCCCATGCTAGGCACCCCCCATTGCCTGCTGCAGACGTGGGGGTAGTTCTCTCCCTTCTGAAGCTCTTCCCCAGCACTTCCTGAGTCACAGTTATCCCCTTGCTTTCTCCTCCTCTCAAGAAGATTCGATTGAGAGAAGAAAATTATACTCTTGGGGCCAGAGAATTAAAAACAAGAGCCCAGAAGAAGCCCGGTCATTAAAGTATTAAGTTTCACATGGATTTGATCCCTATGCTAATACAACTATTCAGGACTCGCTAAGCTCCCCACACCACCCCCCTCTTTGTCTGAAGGCCTCACCATACCCAGTGAGTGGACTTGTCATTCAGTGGTCGCCAGTTTGAAAAATAGTACAGTAGAGCTTTAAAAAAGTCCTGACACTCAGAGATTTGTCAGTGGGTTGTAACTTTTAAGGCTAGCAAAGGGGAATTCTCAGGATTATTTTTCCTTTTTTTCATTTTCAGGAGTGGAGAGGTATATCTTGAGAACTGATTTGTCACTGCCTGGTTTTAACTTTCTGACTGGAAAATACTGATGATAATATTCCATCCCCCACCCCACCCCCTTTTCTTGAGTCAAGTCAGAAAGCAGTAAGTGACAGGGGTCATCCTGTGGAAAAAACACCAGTCTCCAGAGATCTTCTGTCTTAGATGTGCTGCTTGGAGTAATTTACAGAGATTGTCTTGCCTTTGAAACTGACCTCACTGTTTGCTTTCATAAAGCCAGATTTACAGGGGGTTGTGAATGAGGTGATGGCTTTGCATGTTAGTTTAGGGCAGATTAACAATGAACAATGATTTAGGGATAAAATATAACATCAGTACTTTTTTAAAAAGTGGGTTTCAGGTTAGATCTGCCATGAAATTGTGCAGATGTGCAAAGTCTCTTTGCTTACATAAGGAAGGACTATATTACTCTGCAGTTTAGTCATGGTGAAAAAAAAGAAAAAAGAAAAGAAGGAAAATAAATAGAATAAAGCTTGAAATAGCATCCAAGCCACTCCTGGCATAGCCCTTGAACAATTAACCACTATCTTGGGCACCTAACCAAACAATATAAAAATGATAGTGATAAAAATGGCATTTGCTATAGAGGTCAAAGGACATCGGCATGCTTGAAACCACTTAAAACAGAAAAGCCTTTTTCTTGGCCATCTGGAAGCCCCTCTTCATTTAGCTTGGTTTAAGAAAAGATGAGCCTGCTGCAAAACTGTCTAACCTGTACTCGGGGATTCATGACATCCAGCACAGAAAACAGGTTTGCTCACACTCACACCTGAAGGGAAAACCACGGAACTAATGACAGGAGAGAAAATTTGGTGTCACGGAGTCAAATATCAGTTTTTGCATCTGGTTTTCTTAAAAGAAAAGTTTCCATTTACACTCAGAAAATGACTTTAAAACAGCTAACATTTTTATTGTGCTTTATATTTTTAAAGATTTAATCAATGAGTAAAATGTGGCTCAGACTATTTCAAAGCTACACAGCTAGATATTTAGTGGCTGAGCCAGGAGTAGTCTTCTACTTCCCAGCCTACGTCTGTTTTCATTTGCTACCCAAATTAAGCTAACTCTTTTCTTATTTTCAAGTATTCTTTTAGTGATTACCTGCCATCTTTCCCATATTTTTGAATGATAGCATCACAACCTAACCTTTTCTGGGGGTCTTAAAATTGCAGTGTTGAAATACTCTAATATTTTATTATTTGACTGAAGAAAATTGCTAGTAAACTCTCTGTTCTTCTTTACGTTTTGTCTAACCCTATGTGCAGAGGGAAGTGTTTGTGCCTCCACTCTGATTTTCTCCAGGACAATCTAGACAACCTTGGACACGCCCAGGAAGGTGGGATTGCAAGGCAGAGAAGTGAGACCAACATAGTGTCTTTCATATCTAGCGTACTGTAGGAGGTCAAGAAACATTTAATAATTACAAAAAGGAGGGAAAGAATGCAATCCAAAGTTGAACAGGACTCTGTGTAATACTGGCAACTCTTACAGTCTTGCTAGGGAGACAGACGTACCCTTAACTAACTTTATTCAGATTAGACCAGTGCTTCTCAACCTTTGCTTCATATTCACAGGATGAGGTATGAAGGGAAGTAAAGCTTATAAAAAACCACCAGTAGCCAGTGCTTATGCTAGGCCAATGAAAGCAGAATCTCTGGATAGGACCTGGTGGGTGTTTTCAAAAGGTTCCCAAGTTGTCCTAATGTTTAACCAAGACTGGAGAGCACCAATGTGTATATCACTGTGTCTGTTATGAGAGACAGGGAATGGAGGTATCAGCACAGCAGTGAGAGTCATGGGTCTTTGTGAAGAGATGTGTTCTTGGAGAAGGTCTGTAATTAACACTGGTGACAATGCCAAGAGATGGGCATTGCTCAGGAGAGCCAAGGAGAAGCAGGGAGTGACCTAGTACCATGGGTAAGAAGCATAACCTTAGCCTGAAAGCCACACTTGGGACCTCCAGGAGGCCACTACTGATCCCAGGATGGAGGATGTGGCAGGAACAGAGTGTGAATTCAGTTTGACATGGGAGTTGGGAATGTGATGGTAGCTCCCTGCAGGCAGCTGGATCTGGCTTCTCAGAGTCCAGCATGGACTCAGCACCTTCTACCTGAAGGTGAAAATGAAGTCATGCTCTGTTTGAGAGTCTGGCTCCATTCCTCAGGGACTCAAGGCCTCCTCTGTGAAATAAAGGGGTTACCTCAGAATAGCAGTTTCAAACTACATTTCTGCAGTAACAGGTAGTGCTTCTCAAATGTTATAAATAGGAGGCTCAGCTGAGGCATTTAGTAAAATGAAGATTCCCAGGCCCATCCTGAGACTCTGACTCAGTAGGTCGTGGGTGGGGTGCAGAAGGCAGAACTCTAGATAACCTGTAAGAACTACAGGACTTCTGAGAAGTGCTGGTACAGGACACCACTGGGTGCCTTGGGACTGCTGCATGGGTGCGCAAAGAGACAGCAGGCTGGGTCTGGGGTCCCCATGCCACTACAAAAAACGGAAGTCCACCCTTTGGCAGGTTCATATATTGGACTCTCTGCAAGACTTGCTTTGAAGGAAAGGTTTCATTAGGAATAGCAAAAAGAAGTTGAGAACCACTATAGTAGATGTTCTCAAGGTCCACACCAAATCCAACATCCTATGAACCTCTGTGGAGAAGATTCCCAAAGCATGAGAAGGGCAAGGGCAGAGGAGCAAAGACTAGACTGAGGACAGTGTTTTTATTTAAGGAGTGGACTGAGGAGATTAATGTCAAGGAGGAAAAAACCATAAAATTTTTAAAGGCTTTAGTTTTCAAATGCTTCTGAACCCCACACACCACACAGAGAATCTAGTGAAAATGGCAAAAATCTGGCAAGATAGCATTTTCTCTTACAATGAAGGGGTGGCTCTTAACCTCAGCTGTGGGATCTGGGTGGATAGTCAATGACCAGAGATGAGACGTTGTCGCCCAGGAGGGGAAGTAGCTTCAGGGCAGCCATTACTAGAAAAGATGTTCTTCTTCTCTTACTTGATCAGCAAAATCTACATAATCTCTTTGGTTAAAGAAAGTTTTTCCAGAAAGCATTTTGAGGGAGACATTTGTGGAAAACATTAGTGGAATATTTTGCACTGGGAGAGAATTACACTGCTAAACATTTTCAGCAGCTCTGGATTCTGACACGGTTTTGGGAAATAGCAAAGGTGGAAAACAAGAGATCACTAGAAATAGTATCAAAATACAGACTTTGAACAATTTCGGGAAAGTCCACTGATGACTGTGATACAGAGAAGCAGCTAGCCTGACTGGCACCCCTGGGCCCTATGTGCTCTCACAATTCCAGATGGTGGCTCGTCACTCCGTAATGTAATTGTCTGTGTCCCTGACAGGCTGTAAGCTCCCGCTGAGGGCAGCTGCATAGCATCCAGGGTTGTATCCCAGCACTTAGCAGAGTCGGCCAGATAATGGGCATGTAATAAATATCGTCTGACTTTAATTGACGTAGACCAGAGGGGAATGCAGGAAAAAACTCTCTGTGAGTGACTTAATAGAAAGAGGATTTCAATAGAACCACCACTGAGACCCTCTCTAATCACCAGTGGCACAGATTGTTCAAATCAGAACCACACGGGTACGTCAAACACTATATTTGCATATTATTTTTATCTTCCCTTACGTCTTGCTTAAGTAATGAGTGATTGGAAACTCCGTTTTGTTCATGCTGTACTGGGAGTTAAGAGACCTTTATTATCTATTTTAAGTCTGAGGTTCAGGGATCCCTTCAGGCCTTGTTATAAGAACTCCTGAACCAGGTCACCCAGTAAGACCTTGTGGTACCCATGCCCTCCTGTTTGTCCCCCTGAAGCTTCTTTCTTCCTAGTGCAACATGGAGTCCTGCACGATATAGGAGCATGCTCAATGCCTTGGTACCACTCTTCTTCTCTTAATCTTCCCAACAATGAACCCATTCCATAAACTGTCTGCTAATACACCCAGGCTACTAGTTGTACTGGAGAAGGTTCTTTGACTTGTTGGTTGGTGTCACTATAAATCCTTGGGTCTCCTGTCTTGGCCAGGCATTGAATGCAAAGAAACTATTATGTTCATCAATTGCTATTTTCATCTTTTTTTACTTTCCTCATACACCCTGGCCATCCCTCCCCCTTTCAACACACTCACCCTCAACAAACTGCTTGCCTCTCACTTTAACAAGAAAATGAAG